AAAAGTTTTAACCCCAAACAACCCCTAAACTCTTGCAACTAAATCCTAATACAACATAATTAACCCAAACATCAATGATATATTAAGTACATAATTTTGAAAAATTGATATTTTTGCAAAGATTTTGCAAAGTGGCAGTTTTGAAAAGTGGCAATTTAAAAGTGTCATTTCTCAAAAATTCTCCTAAAACTGTAAAAAATTCACATTTAAAAAAAAAAATTAATAAAAATAATATTTAAATTTTAGATAAAATATTATACTTTTGGTTTTGAACTTAAATTATAAACAAAATCCAATTTTTTAATACTCAAAGAATTAAAAAAAACTAAAAAATTCTTAAACTTACTAAAAATGTTGAGAAATTTCAAAAAATGCCACTTTTCAAGTGCCACTTTACAAAAATGCCACACTTTTGAAATCTTTACAAAAATGCCACTTTTTCAAAATTATTTTTTCTTTATAGTATTTATGTTTGGGTTAATTATGTTCTATTAGGGTTTAGTTTTGAGTGTTTAGGGAGTTTTAGGTGTCAAAACATTTTTTAGGGTTTAGGATTTTAAGATATAGGCTTTATAAATCTATAATTAGTGGTATTTTTGTAAATGAACACGCCTAAGTGGCATTATTGCAAATGTGCACACAAAAAGTGGCAGTTTAAACTAAGAATGAAATTATTTCATTTTATTCAAAACTATTTTCTTAAGCCAAATTAGAATAATATCCATAAAAGACATATATGTACATAATTTTTTTGTTTTGAAATTCCACAGATTTAGTGTACATAAAACGTTTTAAAATGAGGTTTGTAAGCCTTTGAGATTTTTTTGTTTAAGTTTAGGACTGAATTTTTAGTATATTAATAAAATGGTTTAAAATTTTGTTTTTGGTTATGTATAAACGTTTTGCACATTAATTTTTTGTTTAAGTATACGTAAAACGTGTTTGCACATAAATTTTTGTTGTTTAGGCTTTCATTATACTAAAGAATCTGTCAACTACTATTAATTACGTAATTTTGTTCATGGTCATATTTATTTGTAGGTCTTCTTCTCCATCATCTGTGCCGGAGACACATAATTCCACTAACCGCCGCCAATTGTCGCAAGAGGAGCTACTCCAACAGCCTGGACGTGAGCATTGCACTCCTCTGCATCCTACTCGGATTGGTGGACGACACATAACAAATTCAAATTTGATTACTATGTTTTACTAAATATCATAATTTGTTAGCTTTTGATGTTTTTATTTCTTGTTTTTTTTTTCAGGTTTAGATGTGATCCTGAGTCCTGACATGTTAATTAGTAAGGCCATTCTCCAAATTTTCAAGTCTCAACTCGAGAAGACAAATGGCTACGTACGTAGCCACAGACCGAAAAAGACAAATGGCTACGTAAATCAAATGGCTACGTACTTTCACAGGAAG